AAGAGTGACCTGCTTGGCTGAAAATCCAAGACTGAGTTAGAGGCAGACTTGTCATTAAATCACATAGATGATAAGAATCTGGCTGGGTGATTTATTTATTTTTTTAAACAAATAGTTGAACTGAAGGCAGTTGAGTACCTTAGTGGTGTTGGATAGTTTCTGTATTGCAAATTTATTAGGCAGCTCAAAGTAGGTGCCTAAGAGGACCTGGGTGCCAGAGCTGTGGCTTTGTATTGGAATGTCTGTACCATATCAGTGAGTCAAGGAAAAGAACATAACCTGGCCTTCACAAAGGTATTTGTCATTTGAATGGATGCTAGTTTGTATCTAAGGGCATCATTTATCATCCAAGAGGCATGAGGTAGTTTAGCATCTTACTCTGTGGAGAACTGAAGACATGGTTCTTCATCTCTGGGACAGAAGCCGTAGAATATCTGGGGAGACTTCCTTTGGGTAACATCTTGCACTTAAAGCCTAGCTGTACAGTCACATAATGTTTATTATCTCTCTTTTCCAGTCGGGCAATTCTTGCCAGTAAGATTACAGCTTTCTCTAGTTTGCCTGTTGTCCTCTGTACAGATTGCAAGTTCTATGTCTATGAAACCTCAGTACAACATGACAATAGTGGAATGGATTCCTGAGCTATAAATACTAAACTAAACCTAAGAAATTATACAGTAATAATGTAAAAGGTAATTGCCTTGGGTTTGGCATTAAAAATACAATCAAACCCTAGTATGCTGGGTAATGCTGATTTCACTGCTATGTTAAGATAGTTTTGCTCCTATTTCAGAGCTGAGCGGTGATGAAATTAACTTTTTCTGCATGGGTTTTGCTATATGGATGGTGGTGATGGGATGTCACAAGTGAACGCTGATGCAGATTGTTGGCACTTCTAATAATGAGCAAACCAAATAACATATAATGGGACAAGCTATTAAACCTCCATATTAAAGACACCCCAGGAATTTCAAAGCTAGGCAATTATATCTATGCCAAGAAGCTTTTGAGCCATGCCAAGCCAATGACTAAAGCAGCTGTAATATTAAATATTAAGCTTTATAACAATTAAAAGCTTCTTATGTATAGCATAAAATAAAAATATGCTTAACTGAGTCTTGGTGGGATGGGTTTTTTTCATGCCCTCAACATATATTCACTGTTTGGCCTCTTTTTATTTGGCCTCTTAATTAATAATTACACAACTAGAACTGCAACATTTGAGATTACTTTATTATTGAAATATATTTCATAACAATGTTTAAACAGCTATTGGCCATCAGCTGGGCTAGCAAATAGGACTTCCTTTGTTTGTGTTTAAAATCCTGTTTAGATAAAATTACCACTTGTCACAGATTCTTTAAGGAAAGGACAATACTTCATTTGTTGTAAAGTATTGATTATATTGGAGGAAAAGTATAAATAATGAGAGGAATTTCCCTTCCATTATTTTGAACAGAAATCAGTGTTTAATGGAAAAGACCAAAATCACTGGGACTTACAAACTGATCTATTTTAAAAAAGGAAAAAACCCAAACCTCAACAGAAGTGTATTATAAATAAAAAAGAAATTAAAAAGCCCCATCCTTTTAAAAAGGTATTTTTAAAAAGAGGAAGCACTACATACATTTAAAAGACAAGCTGAATTTAATATAGAAAGGCAAAAAAATTCAGAGATAAGGTCCAGAGGTAAACTCTGACTGTATTCAGCAAAGGAGCTACAGCCTCTGAAAATTACTGTAGATCTATTGATAAATAAATACAAGAGATAACTGAAAACTACCAAATCTAGTGACCACTGGGAAGATACTACAGTGATAGGTGACCACAGAATAAGAACAGCACCCAAACGCAGAGTTTGTTCTGTGTCTTCTACCTTGCATAATGCTACCAGAGAGAAGAGCTGGAATGGGCTTGAAGAGCTAAGTATGCCTAAAATATCCTTCTGAATTATTCAATAAAATTTTACTGTGGTTTGATAGGTCAATCCAGGTTAGATTACAATAACAGCATGTTCAAAGCAGGAGAATAAATTAAAGTTTGGTACTTTGGTGCCTCTGGGTAGATTACATTATTCTAAAAAAATCCTTTCCTATGCATTTTACATGTTTTTTTTTGGAAAAAGAATAAAACAAAAAGATGAAAATGTCTCTTTGCATGTAACTGTCATACTTAGCTGAAGTCTGCGGAGCATGGGTCATATGATAAAGCCATTTAAAATGTTGCTATAAGGGAGTATGTTTTTATTACGTACAGTACAGCATGAAACTGTATATTCTACCTAGCTATAACAGGAATTCTGTTCTTGCTGCTTTTCAGCTTGTATAATTAAACTGGACAGAAAATGGCATGGACATCTACAGATAGCAAACAACCTTCTTCACTATGAGAAAAAACACTGAAAATGAAGCACTGAGTCTTCAAAAGAATGCAAACTCATATCTCAAAGGATAGTATGGCAAGAAAACTAATGACATTAGTACATAGTTAAAGTTGCTCTATCCTCATAATTGAGACGTCCTCTTTTCTTAGATCTAAGAATGTTCAGGTGTTGTTGGTTTAAAATAGGTCGTGGCATGAATATCTGAAGCAATTATTACTATCAGAAAAGTTTAGTTCACTTCTTCACACTTAAAGAGCATTTAACTTATGTTGATTGCTTTTTTTTTTTTCTCTGCTTCCCCCTTCTGCCAATAGCAAAACTCACAAGTTTTGGTCATGTAGGGATCTCATTGCACCAAAGGATATATGAAAAAATAATCAGTCTTTAAAGATCATTTGAAGCCAAGGAATAGAAAGGAGGCATTGAGAACAGAGAGCAGATGTCTTCCCTCAAAGAGTCAGTAGATAAGCTCTGAGCCAGCCTGGTCCAAGCATAATTGAGGGAGCTTTGAACTTGACTTTTCTGTATTCTCAGTTTATCTTAACATAGTGGCTTTTTCCTCAACCTGTTCGATGTCATATTGTTAGCCAGTGTTGAAGCTGTAAGGGAACAGAAGCAGTTGTATAACAACATGATATACTCAAAATTATGATAGCAAGAGAGATTTTTTAACACATTAGTTGAAAAATCTAAAATTGCAAAGAGGTTTCAAAATAACAGAACTAAATTTATGTGGATTCAAGTTTGCAGTGAGAAAAAGACTGAATATAAAGGCTATTTAATCAGCTCTCAATTCAGTTTTAAAATTCAGAACTGCCAAATGTATATAAGAAGAATATTTTTGTACTTGTTTGGTTATGATAGTCAGTGTTATGTTTACAAACTTAAACATCATGAACAAATAACTATCAATAGTAATTAACAAAGCTATTCCTTGTTGTTTGAAGGCAGCAACAAATCAATATGCCATAGTGTTTGCCATGGCTTGTAGTATCATTAAGAATTTACTTCAGAGTACAAGCTTTTCTAATTTAGGTGAAATTAATTTGCTTCCGTTTTGGCTTTATAGATTTGGGTTTAGAAGGCCTGGTACTGTGTAGAAATGGCTGTTTATAGCTGACTTGCACAGCAACACATGCTTCTGGAAAAATCAAGTTATTACTTATAGCTGGAACATGATAGCTTCAGAAGAATGAAGATGGGAATGGGGGGGAAAAGAAGGCAGGAAGAGGTGCTGTGCTTACATCAAATAAAATGTGGTCATGAAACAGGAAGCCTTTTCTTCCTGCTTTTGGTCTGCATCCCTGAAATCTATATTTGGATTATTTCCTTTAAAATTCAAAATTATACTTCAAACAGTACTTTTCAGAGTATGCAAAAGACAAATTTCTATTTTCAGTACCAGCATACAAACCACCACTAGAAAATCTGGATCGTATTTTGAGGTGATGTACATAATTCTAGCTGCTTTCAACTTTAAAGACAGAAAGTGGTCTGGCATGAATGCTGATAAGTGTAACAAGCTTCATATTTGCATCCTTTTTATCTTCTACAAAAAGGACTTTATTTCAATAAGCTCATTTTATTTGCTAAAAGGAAAGCAGTGTTTGGAATCCTGTAGCATATTTTTCATGGCTGCTTAAGAAGTCTCCAGCAGTGTTTTCAATCAACTTGTAGGCCTGTGGGGAAAGCCTGTTCCACACAACCCAGCACATAATTTTATCATGACTATCGTGTCTAAGTTTTGACACTGGATATTTGTTTGCTATTTACCATGTGTTGTGGTACATAACTGGAGTTTAGGAAATGTGACTTCAAATTGCTGTGCAATAACTGAATGAGATGCTATGCACGTGATAATTTGGAAATACCTTCATATCTTGATGAGATCTCATTGTATTCAGATAAAACCTGACATACTGGATTCAAGTGATCTGTAAAATTGTGCCTTCTGCTTAGTTGAGGAAGGAAGTTGCCAAAAGCCTTCCAACAGAGTTGATGGGAATGGTACTGAGCCTCCAGCATCTTGTCATGCTGGCAGAAAAAAGAGCCACAGACCTGCACAGGTACCTACTACGATGAGATTAGTGCAAAACTGTAGTTGCTGCTAAAGACAGGAAAGGGTTGGTAGCAGGAGAGGAACCAGGGGAAGAGGAGTACAAACCTTAAACTGCCTGACATTTCCTTGGGCCACGAGTTGCTGCTCATTTTCTGGTGTGATGCAGTAAGCTAGTCTCTAAACCAGATGAGAAGAAGAAAAAGTCAGCCATATGAAGAGGGATTATGTCTATAATCCCCAGTCTATAATGGGGAAGTAGCATGAACTTTATTTATAATGGTAACATAAAGCTTTAATATCACTGTGTCTTGTGCCTTTAACTTAGTCACTGAGAGATCAAGCTTACTATAAGCCCCTTGGTATTAGCCTTTAATATAAGAAGCAACAGTAGAAAGTTTATGCAAATAGTAAGTCCAAATATTTAGCAAGTGCATATGGAAAAGAACATCAGGAACAAGGTGGTATCACAGGCTTTACATTCCCTAAATTCATACTTTTCTCTTTGTGGTGTAATGAGGCTGACTAGTCCCAGTGGGAGAGGAAGGAGGTACTGACTGTTTCCCAGCTCATCTCTCTTGTCTACCCTATGCTTTGCCACTTGGGATCACATGAAGATTTTTGGTTTCTTGTGAACTTTCAACCAACTTAAGGAGTTCTGTTAGAGTGTGCTTTCCCCCATACTTTTAGAGCTACAAGTTAGGGCATCATATCTTAAAATAGTTATTTGTATGTCATACACTAGACTGTGCTATTTTTGTTGTGGGAAGACTGCAGAGTTGCTGTCTACAGGAGCTGTAAAAATTACTAACACTATACAGTGCATGAGCAAATGTGGTTTTGACCAAAGGCTTCTGCATCTTAACGTAGCTAAACTTGTGCAAGCTGGAAAAACCTTTTTGGGTCAGAACAATTTATTCTTTGACACTTTGTAGCTACTAGAAGTTGGGTTTGTAATTCCAGGAATGTAACAAACCAAAGGGCTTATAGAAATACTGGAAATGAGCGCTAGGAATTGTGCACACCATTGAGATGTTGGAGCGGATGAAAACAGGGCAGGTGAAGAGTTCCCACTTTGGGGTGTCTTTCTGACGTGAATGATAACTGAGGTGACTAATATTTCAGAAACAAGGCATTTATCCCTTGCACCTGCCAGGTTGATGTGAGGGGGATGTGCCCTGTCTGGGTAAAGGGTGAGACCCAATTTTCTTAATTCTCTGTGGGAGGGTAGTTCCATTAGAGGTTTTAAGACTATGTGTGATTGAATATGATAATGGAGGTAAAATTAATATGATCATACTTATATGATCAATGAACCATAATCCTGCGCCATTTTGGCCTGTTACATAAAAGTATGAGGGAGTGAACTGTAAGGAAATAGGGATGCATTTTTCCCCCCCATAGAAACAGGATCTTTTAAATATAATTATCTTGCACAAGCAAATGCATTAAATTAAAATGTCATTATTAAGGTTGCAATGTTAAATTCCTTGCTGTTAAGCATATAATTAGAATAAGATGGCTACAATATTTTTTTTTTCCCCTCAGTTTCTGCTTTATTCAATGCACAGACCAGGCATGTTATGCATGAAGTGGATTAATGTAGTGCAAGATGCTGTGGTCTAGTTCTCTGGTTCTTTTACTGAAGTAGTTAAAAAACAACTGACTAGATGAGACCATAAGTGGTGCCTATGTCAGAATTTTCTTGATTTCCAGATCTGTTTCAGCATCTTGGTCTATCCTGAACATAAAGGTTCTTCAAGAAGATAGATATTAGTGATGATTACAATAGAAAGTTCTTTAGTAATTCTAGCCCTGGCAGAATGTTGAAGTAATTCCAGTAAAAAAAGGATAAGGATAAATATTTGTCAGAGAAAATAAAATACAAAGTGGTTGCTGTTAAAGACAGAATGCTGGGCTAAATGGATCTATTGCTGTGACCCAGTAAAGCATTTCTTCTGTCCTTGCTGGGTGGTCATTAAATGAACAAAGGCCATCTTGAACACAGGGTTGCTTTGAGGCACAGCCCAGCCTCCCAGCATGTGGATACATGTTTGCGGGCTCTTATAATGCTAAGATAGGTCTGAGTTAACTTTGTATATATAACAGTTTACAGCACTCCAGTGAGTGAATAAAGATACCTTGGACTGAACTCTGTTTAGGCAGAACTATATATGAAGACTGAGAATGAAGATACCATATTTTGTAGAGTTGTTTGTTAATAAGGAAAAAAATAGTTTCATTAACTGGATGAATTGCATGGATTAAAAATATTTTTTTTTTTTCAGAATTATTATGGTGCTTTCTGGAAAGCTAATTTCTATCTAGAAGCTAAAAAAGCATGCACTAATGCTACCTTAAAACTCCAGTTCTTCTGATGGTTGGATCCAAAAGGTCACTCATAAGTAGTAAATTTCATGAGTAAGAGAAACAAACTGCCAACTTAAATCCAGCCATTTCATTTCATAGCAACATTTCATGACATTTTATTAGCATTTCACTTACTTCTTTAAAGGTCCCACGCACATTCATAAATTTATAGATAATATAGGCAGGCACAAGTATCATTGAAGATAATGCTATTCCCCAGCCAATGCGATTTGCCCAGAGAGGAAAGGTGTAGTCATCATAGGTCAATGGTTTGAAATTTATTATGCTGACTATCACGACAAACTAGGGAAGAAAAAATAAAATGAGACAATTTTGAGATGTTGAAACTTAGTGGAAAAGCAATTTTGTATGTTTTATTAGGCAGGCATCCTAAGGTATATTGCAACCCAGTTGTACCATATACCTTCATCCTATTTACTTTGTGCCTCTTACTGCTTAAACTGTTGAAGTTCTTGATGCATTTACTAGTATCAACGATTTCTTTTAGCTCCTCTGAACACAGATTAATTGATATTTTTTGCTGCGAAGATCAGGTGGTTATCTGCTACTTCCTCATTTAAACTAGTGTTACATAAAAAAAGGATTCTCTAGTCAAGAAGAAACTTAGCAGGATTTATTGTTTGTTCCTTCTTTGTTTCCGAGAGGCATTGGGCTTCATTTAGCATTTTTGTACCTATTTTTCAGTGGGAGGCATGATGCAAACACCAGTATGATATGTTTACTAAGGAAAGGTCAAGCAGCCTTAAGATCTGGAAAACAAAGTGTGTGGTGTTATCCTGTCCAGTACTAGGTGTAAGCAGGAAAGAGTAGGGTAACACCCTATTTTCCATATGGGAAATAAAATCCCATATAGCTTAAATCCTTATGGGTTGTGTAATATGTCGAGTTTCTTAATTTGGTTCTCTGGGCCTATAGATTCTCTTTCATAAGGCAATTTCAAATTACAGTATTTTGGGTTTCAAAGATAACACAAGGAGAGTAATGGTGTGGGTTAAAAGTAGCTCTGAGTGTGAAATACAGTTACAAAAATACTAATTCCATTTTGAGATTTTCTTGGGATGAGGTACACAGCTGCAGACATTATGGTTTTGAAAAAACTTCAAGGAGACAGTTCCTAATACCAGGTACCTGATTAACCCAAACCTACCTTTCTTTATATTAAGGAGAATTGTATTTATGCTTTGAAACTTCTCCAATACATAACCAGTCCCAAACAGGGGCCACTTCGCACTGAGCATGCATGGGATTGTTAGAGCACATATTATACCAAAATCTGATAATTTTGTAGCCTTTTTCCAAATTACCTTGAACTATACTCTGCTCTTGTGAGACCCCACCTGGAATACCATGTAGAGCACTGGAGACATTAGGTCATAAGGTAGTGGTATATGTTGCCTGGGAAGGTTGTGGATGCCCCCTCACTGGAGGTGTTCAGAGCCAGGTTGGATGAGGTTTTGTGCAGCCTGGGCTTGTGGAAGGTGTCCCTGCTCATAGCAAGGAGGTTGGAACCTGATAATCTTTAAGGTCCTTTTCAACCTTCACCATTCTATGATTCTGAGATTATGCATAAAAGAACTAAACTGATTTTGTAATTTGTTTGTATTTTCTACGCTTATGTCTCAGTCTTTTCTGGTGAAGCAGTTTGTGTGCTTCATAAATGTGGTATAAAAATGCTGTTTCTTAGATCAAGTGATGAAATTTCTGGACTTTGTAGTTTTAAATGATAAAGCTGAATACTGGGCTACCTTTCTCATGCTGGTGACTATCCTTATAGTTTTCACATTTAAATTTCTATATTTACTTTATTTTCTTAATGTATTGAATAGTTAACCACAAGTAGGCTAGAAGAAAGTAAATTATGTTAACTTTTTGCATAGAAATCAAGATTGTAATGTCCCTGTTGCCTTTCAGAAAACTGAGAAAATGTACAGTTGTAACAAGACTGCCCAGTGCCCCTATGCAGTGTGATATTGTGCCCATATGTTTGAAAATATATTGTTGACCAGTAGTTAAGTTGATGTTTCAAGTTCAGCACTTACAGCTGGAAAAATAATTGTGCATTGTGAGGGCTGAAAGGTGCATTACTCACAGATTCATTCTGACCCTTATGTTTATGGTCTTCTGTAGGAAGATATCAGGGCCATTTAACCAAGACATCTTAAGCTGTCTAAAAGTGAGACTGACAATGACTTCAGCTTTCTCTAGCTAGCTTACTAGAACTCTGCTCTTTGTGGCATTAAAATTTTCTATAGCATCCTAATGTATAAAAACCTAAGGATGCTTTATGCAGCATTTTTCTTTCCTGCTTGAGTCAGCATCTTTGGAGTGCTGCAGGATATAGTTCAATACAAGCTTCTCCTACAGAACAGTGTTTAAAAGGATAACTAATACATGCTTGGTAGGTGCTTTGTGATAAATTGGTGGCAGAAGCTCTTAAATACAATAAAAAAGTGGACCTGAAGGCTTTCATAAAAGCCTACCCAGTGTATTTTTGGAATATCAGAACTGCTTTAAGAATGCAGAGTTTTAATACAATTACTAGTCTCCTAAAATCATAGCAAGGTTGATTTTCTGTATTATTCATCCTGACATTTTGATTTACAAATATGTATAGGAAAATATCACAGTATAAAACTGTAGTTCTGAATCTAACCTTTGCACAAAGTAACCAAATTCATGCTCTGGGATTTTTCCTCCCCCAAATGCAGTGAAGCAATTGTTTTTCACATCAAACAGCTTACAATATTCTAAGTGTAATACTTGCAATACATGTCTTCCATGTTTTACATAGCTAATAACTTGATGTAGTTGAATATTGGTTATTCTAAGGTGTCATTCCACAATTTGAGGATCTTGATATCCTCCAATGAATAGTAAATTCTTGCTAACAAATTTTCTTATCCCTGGTTATTTTGTTTTCCCAACATAATTATTTCTGTTTAATATGCATTAATGTTGCTGGGATGGGAAGAACACTGCTTATGCTTTCAGTGTTCCCTAAGATAAACTGCTTTCTTTAAATCTTGTAAAAGTGAAGACGACCACAGCGACAATTATCTTCTTTCACAACTGCAGTGTATTACACAAATATAATTAATGACATTGAGGAGAAAAAAATCATTAAATCAGTGTCTTCTATTTATCCTGACAACATCAGGCATCGTAATTAGTATCTTGCTCTTGATACCTATTGTATATTCTAGGAAGCAGCTTACTGTTGTTTTTTGTATAATGAAATAATTGTCAACACTTACCAATAAAAAAGCAGGGCTAACAAATTTCCAGCACAGTCTCCAGTAGAGGCCTGGCTTGAAGCCCATCATTTGTTGAATATCCTCACTGAATCTGTCCACACCTAAAGGGGATAATATGAACATTAGATTGGTGTAGGTTTAAACTGATGAGGAGCTTGAAAGACCAAAACATTTCATTTTTCAGAAAGCAGACAGTAATGACTTCCAAATCATAAGACATATAATAACATTGATGTCCTTTCAGTGTCTAGATGTCTTTGACATCACTTTATCCAAGACTGTGCCTGTGAGCACTTAAGGTCTGTTTCAAATAGCATTACTATTGACAAGTGGTATTTCACCTAGAATTTAAGTTGTGAATGGGATGTGCATTTTTTAAATAGTTGTAGACTATTGTAATCCACTTCCTCAATAATGACTGAAGGAGAACCCAGACCTTACTCAAAATGCTTACTGATAATCACATAGAATCATACTATCCCTAAGTTATCAAAGGAGGCTTATTTGTTTCACATAATGGCATATGTTATGTATCATTCAGTGTTTCACTAAATAGCACAAATGTTCATTATATCTATGACAAATGTAATTTCACCTTCTATTACCTTTCCAAGGAACTGGGTAGATGCTGCTTCTGTTCAGTGTAAGTATGTACAAAGCTACATTAGCTAAAAACAGGTGGCCTTTTTAAAAATATCCTGTGTTTTTGAAAATTATAATACTAACTAGAATATTCTAAAATTGCTACCTCTCTATGCATCTGCACATCTAGTAACATAGTTGTTGTAGATACCTTAGAAGAAACATGATCTGTTTATGTGAGTAAAAATCAAGAGTAGTAAAAAATTTTATCTGCTGCAGTAATTAAGAAAGCAGAGGATAACATGAAAATCATTAAATGAAGGCACAGATCAGATGAATCGTGCTTATTCTACTGGCAATATAGAATAGTGGTTTAGAAACATGGGTGGCTTGATTATTATCAAAGCCTTGATAGTAACATACAACAGTTCAGTATAAGACTTTATATATTAGCATGCAAGAAGTAATATACAAGAATTCTGCTGTCAGGAAAACTATGTAACAGTGTTCCATTCAAAATAACTCAAACATTAGCTACATGCAGTGGGATTCAGTGCAGTGCAGAGAAATGGAGACACCAGAACAAAGTGTTTAATGAGTGACATAGTGGCCAGATGAGGAAAAGACAACTACTTTGTAAATTATACTTGATGTATTCAGGAAGTTTTCTTTTAATGCCAAATTCTATTAGCTAAACATAAGAAATCTGATTTTTTGCCATTGATATTTGTTTGTTAAGAAAGGATGCACACTTTACCATAATAATTGTTTTTTTCAATGCATATCAGTTCAGTAGGTTTTATTTAATTTATTTAGTGTAAATAATTAGGATGGCTTGAGCTAGTCCTCTACATGCAACCAGAATGTAACATATTTACAAGGTCTGGACATCTGAGTATAAACTTCCCTTTGATTTCCATCCTTTCACCTCCCCAATATTATGTACAGGTGAAGCAAAGCAGCCAGAAGGATCTCCAAATGCTCTTTAAATTTAATCTAATTCTATTTGCAGTGCCTTTTGTGAACTTTAAAGCGACTGAATTTCAACTGCTATGAATACTGAGTGAAATTTATTATTGTGCAGAAGGTCAAAGACAAGGACTAGATATCTCAAAAAATGTTATTCATAGGTTTCCAGACAGATGTACCCAGAGCACAAATCCTGCTTTGTGTTCCATTTCTGCTGAAAATGGAAGATGGGCAGGCCATGCTATCAGACTGCTCTTTCAACAGCATTTTTTTTCAATATTATATGTATTTGAATACATAGGATCAACCTGTTCAAAGGATCAACCTGTGAAGTAGAACATAGCTGTAGCTGGAGATGATGGTACCTGTAGGGCTGTTTACCTGTAGTTTTTTTGTTTTTGGTTTGTTTTTTTTTCAGTTCTTGAAAGAATTTACCCAGGTTTTATTTGTGATTCTGTAGCATAAACTGAAACTGTGGGTGGCATGTCAGTTGCAGGAAGGAACGGGTAAACCACAAACAAAACTGCATGTTACTTGCTGGAGACCTGGTGTTGAATATGGTAATAACCTCCTTGCTTTTCCAATGAAAAACAAGATAAACTTGCAGTTTAGGAGCAGGTCCTGATTAAATACACTGAACCCAAAGACAATTTTGGTGTAATTTGTGAACTAATTAACACTATAGCTGCCTGAGAATGTCTCCACTGTAATGGTCTATTACAGGGTAGTGAAAATTTGGGCCACATACATTATGTTGTGTTGGCAAGGACATTAAATCAATATGCAAAAAATAACAGATTAGGAAGAAAGTGAAAAGTGGGTTTGGCTATAAATGCAAATTACCCTCCTCACATTGGGACATCCGTTTTTCATCTCAGTGATGCAGAGGTCAGATAGAAAGAAAATCTACATGTTAACAGTACTTCCTGTACCTGCTGCCTGCTGGTCCTTTGTAAGTCATTTTGCTCTATGGGCTCAGCCAATGGTTTCAAAACCACTCACTTGTACAGAAGCCCTTGAGCAGGTCCTGGCCCTGAGGTGAAACTGCTCAGTGGCCATAGCTGAAATAATTTCTGGGCATGTTTCCAAAAAAGTGTCATAGCTCCAGCAATCGTTTGGATCCCTAAGCAATCTTTGTGTGTGTTGTTTTCCCCCTCTTGTCTTAAACTATGTAATTCTTCTATATGCTTGAATTTTTTTTTTTTAATTTGGAAAGTAAAATTAGTAGTAATGCCTTTAATGCCATCCATTTAAATGCATGCAAGAAATTGAATTAACTGCACTAAAATAACATAATAGTAAGAAAAAAGGTATATTGAATCAATCTTGAAGTTATTTTGTGCTTTGTCCCCTTTCTCTGTGCATGTTACTTCACTGTTTTTTCTCCCATATCAAGTTTTACTTGTGTGTGCATCTGTAACTGTATGAACTCTCACAGTTCATATGTGAATGAAGAGCTGTATTGAAACTGTTTAATTGATCCATCTTATATTTTGACCCTTGGGAAATTACAGTAAGTGATATAACCATCATATTTTTCCTGTTGGAGGAGTGCTTGGGAGTTCTCTAGTTCAGCCTCTTGCTCAAATCAAGGTCAGCACAATATCCAAATAACTTTTTCCTTGTCCAGTTGGTTCTTGAAAACCTCCAAGAAACGAGTCATCAAGCATTCTTTGGACAAGCTGTTCCAATGTGTAATTGTCCTAATATAGAAATTTTTCTTTTCCTCCTTTCAAATTGATCTTGGTCTCATGTATTCTCCTGTCACGAGACTGAACAACAGTCTCTTTAATTCCTGAGTCTCCTTTCTAACTCTGAAGCGATGTTACTTGTTAGTGGATGACCCTCACCTGGTGGCAGTAAGGGAGAAAGCCATACCAGTACCATTACCAAAGAAGGGCAGCTGTGCTAGGGTAAAACCAAGCAGAACAGTATGAAACATTTCCCCACCATGGCAGTGCAGTAAGCTCTCCAAGCTGGTTTGCCACATTTGTATTTTCATTCTATGGAAATGTGAGCATTCATATTTTGTTTCTTGTGCCAGGCACACATCCATACAAAAGAATCTGCGAGCAAAGATGAGCACCATGCAGTCAGTATTTGTTTATTTTTTTTTTTCCCTTTTGCAAAATCAAACAGTGAATCTTGGATTTTTCTCAAATAAAGCACCCTTTGGTCTGACATTTCAGTCTGAGGCACCTTCTTTAGGGAATGATTTAAGTAAATAAAAGCAATGAGTCTTCAGGTGAAGATCAAGATCATTGCTAGCTCATACTGAGCTTATTCTAGTCATTCAGGGAGATGTTCACATTAAAATTTGATTGAGTAGAGATTTTCTGTGAATGAAACTGAAGAGCAGTTTTGTATCAGTGGGAGAGGTGTCTGGCTTTTCTTAGAGAATTCATTGGAGGGATGATATCAGGGTTGCACAAGATGAAAATGGTAACAAGCTAGCAGTTGTAGCTGAAATATATCTGTGTAGTAAAACAACCCTTTTCTCCCTTCTCTTACAAATTCAATTGGCCTTCACAAGAAGCACCTTCACAGTAACTGGTCCAAGGTACAACCTGAACTAAATTTCCACCTTTTTGGTCTGTGCCAAAATGTCAATGCTTGCCTTCAGGCTGGCTTAATATTCGGCTGGGTCATTAAGGCAGCTGGGGTCTATCAGAAAAAAAAGAGGTAGACAAGACCATGCCAGCTTTAATCAGCTTAAATGGCACCTGGGGCTGTAATAAGTTCTTTAGAAAGCAACAAGTCATGCTGTGTCCGTAAAAACATCTGTCAGCTGCTTAAGACAAATGAATAGAGATATCCCTGGTTATGGGGAGGCAGGAGGGAGAAAGGAAAGGATGATAGACATAAGATGATACAAATAAGGAGGAGTTTACTATCCCTGGCTTAGTCTGTGAACTAGCTATTGTAAAGTGCAGTAGATCCTATTTTAATAGCAGCAGATAATAACTTGCCCTCACTCAGTGAAGAATGTTTTCATACCTCTGCTTCTAAGCTAAACTATGATGACTCCTTTGCACTCAGCTCTCTTACATGGATTAAAGACAGTTATCTGGGAAATCTAGTGCCACCACTATTTTGAGAGAGAACAGAATATGAGCTGCTAGTTCCATCCTGACGTTGGGTGACAGAATTAATACACTGTTTCTTTAGTAGACTGAATTGCTTTATGCATGAATGTCCTTCTTTCACCTGTTATTTATCAACAGTTTTTAACTGCAAGAGAGAGGCATAACTTAGTACAAAATACTAGAAGTACTATCATTTATGGTATTTAGGATGTTGAGTATTCCATACCATGCTATGAAATAGTATAATTATTAAACCACTAGTTTTACAATTAAGTCTCAAACAGGAAGGATTAATGTAGGAATTATTATAACTCTCTAAAGACAAACTGCTTTTATTTGTATTGCATGGAGGTATCTTTAGACTGGCCCTGGTGAACTAGGGAGAGAGGAACAGGTGAGTCTGTATTTATGCAAAGCTACTTGCTGTGAAACTACCAGGTATATACCTGCTACTGCAAGTCATTTACTGTTAATAGCTGCAAAATACTGGCAAAAGTAGTAACATTTCCATCCCACTGCAGTCTCCTTCATCAGGCAGTTTTATTTGACTCTGTGCAGGGTTTCAAAGTTTGGCCAACTGAATGTCTGCCTTCCTGTCACTATGCATAGATCAGATGAAAATCACTATGAAACCTGGCTTGCCATGGTTTCACGTGTACAAGGCACTGCTGTTTTTCCTTAAAACAATGTGTAAGCCTGTCATGAGCACTCAGAATTTTAGAAAAGATTTTGCAGGTGCAGAATTAAATGCTTACCATAAAACCAGGAAACTCCAATTGCTTCCATTAGAACAGCAAACAATATTGAAGTCCCAGCTGCAAATGTGTCCAGTAGTGTGAGTACATAAATTCCACCCTGGTGTTGAGGAGTTAAAAGGTGCAATGAAACAAAGTTATAAATAGAATAATCTCAGTAGTTTAGTATTTAGTTAACAGAAATCTGCTTTACCTGAAACATTATCTTAACCCAAATGTTTTAATATGGAGCTGGTGCTGCCAATGAGTTCATATTTGCATACAAAAGACTGGAATCAGACTTCCAACTGTTTTAAAGAGGCTTTCTTTCACTTCTGTCCTCACTTGTCCTGGTTTGAGCCACGGTGAAGCAAAACTGAACAGGGAAACACAAGCCTCAGCTTGGCATGATTAATGAGTACTGCTGGCACTCAAAGTTTCCAGTGGAAGTTGAAGGTACTCACTGTGGGGGACTATTCAGCCTGTGGGACAGGGCCTGTCTTCATTATTTAATGAAGGTCTTCCTAAATTATTGGCAGGAATGGAGCTCTACAAAAGTTTCCTCAAGCCATTATCACTCAGTTTGTACCTAAGTCAAATTCTTATGTAGTCCAGTGAATCTGCAGTCTCAGACTGATGTCTTATTTTCCCAGAGTGCCTGCATCTCTTTTTTCCAGTGCTTTTGCAAAGGGAGCAATTGCATGTTAAGTCTCTGTTACTGGCCCAGTGTGGAAGCAGCTTTTCATTGTTTAGTTTCTTTGCTGTGGTGTTATTGAGCCTTTGCTCAGAGGAGAGAGCAAACCAAACCATCTTCCTTCACAATAGCACATTTTTGTCCTTCAGTGGTTCATCACTGAGAATTCTAAATTAATTTACTAATGTCTTGTTTTCCTGGTATTTTTTTTTGGTTATAGTGTAACTAATTTTTGCTTCACTTTGGAATATGGTATGAATTAGTGTAAATCACATTAGCCCAAACTGAATAGAATTATTTAATGAGGAATGGAAGACGATAGTATGTTTACTTGTTTCAAAATGAAGCTGAATAAAGTGTTTCAGAAAATTTTGTCATGTGTAAACAACTGAAGTCTTTGGAGTTGCAGTAGATTTCCTTTTTTTTTTTTTTTTTTTTTTTTTACACGGAAATGTAATCTGGTTATGCCTGTTCAGAAGAGGAGGAACACAAATTGTTTTCCATTTATTTACCAATGGCATAAACAGCACTTATACTATTTAGATCTCTAGGTCATTTTAAACTCTACATTCACATTTTTTTTCTTATAAAAAGATGGTTTTCTGAAACAGCTGTGCATATTTACAAAAATAGAGAACAGTGCTTAGACCTCGTCTAGAATTTCAGTTCTGTAGATATTTGTCCAGAAACTGAATGAACTTGGTTTGTTGTGTTAGAAAGAAAATGTTGCTTCTTGAATGATATTTGAGTTTGACCTCTTATTTCTGCTCTACACCTGCTCTAAATACATGCCTTAGCTATCAGACTTAGTAAAGTGAATGATAAATACAGTTTTGTTAGAAACATGTTTTGAAAACACAGCCTTAAAATTTCAGACAACAATACTAGACCAATTAATTAACTGTGATGGGATTTTTCTAGTGTTTTGTACACTCTAGAAATTATGTTCTTCAGTTATGAGAGCAAATACATTTAGACAAGTCTGGGCAGTTTTGTACATTCCAGCTGCTGAGTATAAAACAGTTTGTGTCTAAACAGATGCCATTATTTAAAAGCTAGAGCTAACTTGTTGACTTGAACTGTTTCAGCTCACTTGAAGGCAGTGGAATTGCAGCCATTGACACCTGTTCAGATTCTTAACCACCAAGTTCTTCTGATCTTGTGTGTCAGGAAATAGTGTTCCAGATGAAACTTTGAATAAGGAAGGAGCATTTCCAATTCCTTAGGTTACAATGGAGATAGTGTGATATTAAGGATGCTTATATTAAATGATACAAAATATATTGAATGCATATTTTTTTAGAGTCTGAAGTGTTATCCAGTTTGAGAAAATTAGAGTAAAAATATTTGGGTGTTCTTTTAGTAGAAAAAAGAGCTCTATTATTTGTAAACTTAGGCCATTTCAATAATCTTAGTAATAGATCTGAAAACCATTTTTAGGGAAGGAGAGAGGTTTAGTACATCTACTTACATGTTAGCTATGTCAAGTTTCAGTTGTTTCCTGACAGTTTTGGCATCTTTGCTTACAGTGCTTTGCCTTTTTTGTCCAGAAAAAAAAAAAAAAAGGGGAAGTTCTCTCCAACCTAGAACACTGTGATTCTCCTCATGCTTTAATTAGTTGTCAAAAGCCAAACGAGGCAAATAATTCAGAATGATGGAAGTGATAAGTTCAGGTTTCTAGATGTTCAGGATAAGTTGTTTGTGTGCTTTTTATGGTGTTGAGAGTAAGAGATAAGATCTAGGTACATGAAAGAACATGAAGAAACACATAGGGGAGAGGAGCTCATTATTCTAAACTCCTTTCACAAGAAGTGAATGCTTCTTATTTGTTTCAAGAAGAGAATAGCAAGATGACTGAGGGTCTGGTCCTTGAAATTCTTAGTTCTTCACATGGATATAAGCACCCACCACAGTTCCATTTAATATGATTTTAAAAAACCCCCACAAAACCAAATAAAAACAACAATAGCACAGATGGTTCTTTGGAACAAAGACTTGTAGGTTCTGTTGATAGCTAATGATCTTGTGCAAAAAAAGCAGAGAAGCTTCATGTAGATAACAGTACAATTTGTGGTCTGACCATAAAGTTCTGGAAGAATTAAATTTTATAACAAAAATAGTCACCTGAGCCTACTCATATTTCTCTCTAATGAGATTACCTTATTGATGGAAACTTTTATTGTACTTACATTGGTGATGCAAAAAAGAGCAAGTAGGAAAGTGCCAAAAGAAACACCAAAGGTGAAGAGCTTTCTGTGCTGCTTCAGAATTCTGAAATCATCTGCCAAACCAGTGATGACAGCCTCCATTCCGCCCATCTGAGGAAATGAAGGCAAGAGCTCTTGTTAAATGCTACTGATGTTTGTAAATACAGATGAAAGAATATAAAGCATCTTGTTTCATTCCCAACCCCTGTATGATTTCTTCCTTTTCAGCTGTAAATCACTGATGTTCTAAGGTGTAATTTATTTTCTAGTGGTAGAGAGTTGAGTCAGAGAGCTGGATATCAAATGCAATTGTTGTTGGACCAATAGCCATATCCTCTGTGATCCCTGTGCTCACTCACCAGGATAGTAAGTAGACAGTACTTCAGGAAAAATTATAACTATTGTAATATATTTTGGGGAGGAGCTGGTTGCTTGAGTAACTTCAATGTCAAGACAAACACAACAAGCACCTAGAGGAAATGTACTGAACAAAAAGATTAATTGATTAACCAAATCCTTTTGACAAAAATCTTTGCAGATCTGGCATAATGACTACATAGGAAGCTTGACAGATAACATGAAAGGATTTAACTTTGTTTTCTAGAAGTGAATGCTAAATGTTAGCCATTGTTTTGCAATAAACTTCTCAGAATTTGTTACAGTGTTGTCATATAAATGATCTTGTAGAACATGGGAAGAGGCAGTGAGGATTATTTTAGCTAAGGACCACTTCTTAATATATAATGATTTATTCTCAATGTTAATTTCCTCTGCCAAGATAGATATGTACTAAAAAAAAAGTTTGTAAACATTAGTTTCTGTCCTTTTCCTTGTTCATTACTTAAATTTGAATGATCAGATTTCTTTGCTTATACATTTTGACAGTTCCATTTTTGTACAGATGTCTGTATTTCTGTGCCACTGCAGGCTTATATGCATGAATAAAAGTATTAGTATGTAATTCTTCCCTTTAGCTTTAGGGGTATTTGATTTTTAGTTTTTAAGTTCTTAATACTCCCTGCAAGGACTTGATCAGTCAAATGTGGCAGGAGAGTTGAGAAGACCACCATAAAAAGTACTGCATGACCTGAGTTTTCGTAAGTAAATAATGAAAAATCTAGAACAAAACATGAACAAGCAAATGCCTCTTCTTTAAGAAAGAAAGAGCTAAGCTTGGGCGCAGTTTATAATTTCATAGTATTTTAATTAGCTCCACAGGAAAGAGGTTTCTCTACTTGAAGGAAAAGTATGTTCTGCAATCTAAAGTCTTTGTCACTCAAGTGTTTCTTGACACTGCCTTAAATTTACTGCTGTGTTGCAAAGTAAAGTGTTCTGGATCTAAATGCTTTTGAGCATGTATTTTCTTAATTCTTCTCTGTTCCTACTGGTCACACATGCCGTTTCACTTTCAATCCTACGTGTTCGCTTACAATTGAAAAATGGCCAAGCTACAAACCCATATATAATCTTGCTGAAGACTTTTGAATAAGGACCCAGATCTTAAAGGCAAACTTCAATGAACCTGAGCAGGAATCCAAAAATGCAAACACTCTGAAAACATTTAGACCTCAGCCTGACCTTTATGGCTCAGACCTTCCTCCACAAGATCTCATTCAGCTATTTGCCAATGATTATCAAATCTTCTGGCTGCCATCTAATTCCTCTTTACTTTGCTCTCTTCAATGTCAGTTCATTCTTTCCCTTTCTTTTCCTTGAAAATGAACAAAGTTTTCTGAAGTTGTGAGCAGTGGGGACACTGTCTTTTGCCATTTCCAGCAAGAAATTCCTAGATTAGCTGTCTACATTCAGAACTATAAAAGAGACTTTTGTGCTTTAAAATAGTAAGAAAACCCCTAGCCTGCTAATAATGAGGAATATTTGTTCATGGTTTACTGTTCCTTAAAGACCGTTTATTTTTCCCAGAATTAATTAGCTTTTAAGCTATATATAACAGGATGTCTTGATGTCTCTTTGGCAAGAACAAAGCAGTACAAATGTTGCTCGGGGACTTGGGATATTTTCTGCACTGAAGTTTGTGATCCTGGTTATCATGATACAGTAAAAGTCATTGCATTATGGAAAGAGGAAATATACTTGTTAGACTAGACATTTTATACTAGTAAAATGAAACCACTGTGGAAATATTCTGGTGTGACTTCTATATTTTGACTAAATTTACAGGAAATTCTGTGTAATTGCTTGCAGAATAAATCAGACTGCTTTTAGACGTTGTCTTGAGCAGATGAATGAATTTCAGCACATGTAAAAATCTCTCCTAGAAACCACTCTGTTCAATGTCTTGCCTGTAGCTTGTATTTTGTAAGTAGAGCTCCAAAACCTTATTGCAGGTTTGTAGTAGTAATAGTTCATAACAGTGGTGTTGGGTCATACCTTTAAAAAGTAATAATTGTTGATGAACAGCTTCTCTAAGATCATAAAACACCAGTGGTGGCTAATTATATTTGCTGGCTTGTAAAAGAGTTAATCTTTTCCTAAACCTCTTAAATATTGTGAGTCTTTAAGTGATACTGCCAGGAGTATTACTATTGGTAAGTTGGCTGTGACTGTGAAAACAGATTCAGGGAATGTACAGAATGTTTATTTGAAATGTAATAAAGCCCCTGTCTAAGGCTGATACCTCTCCAGTTACAGAATATAACAATAAGGGAAAAAATGTCAAGGCTAGAAGGAGAAAGTACTCACAGAACTGTCGATGCCAAGAGTAAGGAGCATGATGAAAAATACCACAGCCCAAAAGGTAGACCCTGATAGAGTAGAAATTGCTTCCGGATACAGGATGAAAACTAAACCAGCTCCTGAAATTTTTTTTAAAAAATAATTTAATAATTATATTTCTTTGCTTCACAATACTGTTCACATTAATAAGGTTATGACTAAGATGTCTTTTACATCAGTCCACATCCCACTCTGAGTAGCTGTTGTATGAAAATTTGCATGTTACTAAAAATATATCTAAAATTCTTTAATTACTCATGACAGTTTTGTATTTAAAAAAAAATAAATCTATCCCATTATTTTCCACTTTTAATAATCTTTCATGGATTCCACAGCCTTACTAGATATTTTTCAACTATGTATTAGAGAAGGAACCCTGTGTATGTGGACTCCACTGTCTGGCAAGTGAACTCTAGGATGTCATGAGAGACACTGGAACTGAAATCATGAGTGACCTGTTACCAGTGAAAGGGCTCTACAGCTCAGCTTACCAGAACCTTCCAAAACAGTAGCCTCTGGCACTGGGAAGCAACACTTTCACAAAGTACTGTGCAGTGGTAAATGCTTGTTGCACAGGCTGAATTGGAGAGGGATAGAGAGGTGGGGAATTTTAGTTCAGTAGGTGTGAGATGAATCAATGGCAGTTATATTTCATATTTCAGCAAGGAGTTTTAGTTCCAAGTAATTTAATTCAGGTCACCTCCATGAGATTTTCACACACATGTTTGAAACAAATATAGACCCATTTGCAAAGAAATGGTGGACAAAAAGGGGTAAAACTAGTATAAAATTAACTTCCTACCTTCAGTGGCTACATCCTCGATTTTAACTTTGTGCTCATGAGCCATGTAGCCCAATATGGAGAAAATTGCAAATCCTGAGATGAAGCTTGTGACACAGTTAATGGTACTAGTCAGCAAAGCATCCCTAATGATGGAGAGAAGAACAGCCCAGTGAAAAAAACACACTTTAAGATTAAATGATTATTTTACAGCAATACGAAGATGCATGTAAAATTATTGTGCAATTATCCTGATGATCAAAAGCTCTTATCAGCTTACTGTGCTAGAAGAAAATGACATAGTTCTGTTTAATATTTTTATTTAAAACTGAGTTATGTTCAAAAAAACAAAGCTATGTTAAATTTTATGAAGTTAAAGGATAATGTCATTATCCTAGCTGGTAGCCTGGAGTGAAAGAGCCTTACTGTTCACTATTTCATGTGAGCAGTTATGCAGAACTATTTCCAGACAACTCCAGGAGTGTGTTTTTAGCAAACTTCTGTCATTCAGATGGCATTGGTAACCATCCTTAATCTGGAATTAAGTCTCTTCAGCTATGAAGTCAGCTGGGCTTTTCTGAAAAAAAATAGAACTCTTGTTTGCCAGATAGTTATGACAGTGAATTTAATTAAAAGGTTAAATATTATAAAATGTGCATCCTATAGTAATGATTGTACAAAGTTGTGGGATTTTATCAATCTGCCGTGGTATTATGGTAGATGTATGAATTTTCCTGGGTATTAATAATCCCTATTATGAAACCTTCTTTAGAAGTCTACCTTATCTGCACAGTGTCTGATATGTTGTCTTTTGCTGTATATGACCTTTAGAACAGAGGACATGGCTCTGTCAACATCAGTGATGTTTAATTAGCAGGAAGTAAATATGATTTCCTTTTATCAGTTACACTACTCAAAATATAGATGCCATACACCAAATTTTATTACTTTATTTTGATAACTTTGAAAAACTCGAGTCCTGCAATTCCTAAAGTTTTTTCCTGGGGGAAGGCTGGAGGATCAAGGGGTACCAGATTGGACCCATGAATTCAAATTCTTTTCAGTTATTAAAGAAAATTTCTAGATATTTGTCACTGCTAAGATGGCAAAAGTATTTCTTGTTTCCCTCAATTAAAAAACATTCTTATGCAAGTGAATAATTCTTCTTTCCATTTAGTCAGTAACTGAATTAAGTGATGCTTATTTCCTTATAAACTGAGCTGAGCTAACTCCCGGTATTTTGCATGGAAAACTAGATCATAATTTAAGTACAGATTTTAATATATTCTGGCCCTGATTTTCAGTAGTATCTTACTGTTATGGCACTGTTCCTCTCAAGGAAGTTGTGTTTAATGGGGGACAGCATAGTGCTGAATGTAGTATAGTGCCTTCCTTTGAAGACAGTGTTCTTTTCAATTTGTTCTGTTTCAAGAAATCCATTTGAATAACATATATCAGCACATTATGGAGTTACTTGACCAAACGAAGGATATTTGTAAGTGTTGTAAATGCTACTGAATTGAAGCTTGCTTTTATAATTAGAACTAAACCACAGTAAATAATGAAACTACAGATTACTGTTAGAGAGAAGGCAAAGCTTATGCAACAACATTGATATGATTTCATATCTAGTTTGTGGTGTTTTTTTTAGTTCCAGGTGAGATTTTTTTCTGTTTCAGAGCAGTAGAATATGTAAGAAAAACAGTTTTATAGTGAGCTGCTATGAGATTAATGCAAAATTATTTGCAGAAGACAATGTTATTTTGGAAGACTGCTAAGGCTTGTGTTCTAGCTGAAAGGTTCTCAAACCTGCTAATATTTCCTACTGCAAATAATCAGCTGGCAACCTAAATTCACTCTGAGTTAAATTCCAAGCTCTCTGAAGTTACCAGAAGTATTCCACAATTTCTGTTTTCCAGATGTTGGAGGCAGTTCAAATAGATACATTTTCCTGTACATTCCACTTTAACTTTTTGCCATCCTTCAGTTCACAATGTATTACTAATACATGTGTTTTCTGAATTTATATTTCATGGGAAAATGTAAAAGTGCTGCTTGTTTTCATTCCAAAATTGAATGTTAACAAAACTTCTAAATGTTGGAAGTTCTTAGATGCTGTGGAGCAGTCCTGGTTGAGTTTTCATGGTGGCAATTCAGCAAGATACTTATAACTGACTTGATTTAAAGTGCATTCTTAAATTGAAGATCAGCATAAAATATCTGAAATAGAATCCCAAAGAATAGAAACACTTCTGGAAACTGGAACCCTTATTCTTTTAGTTCCTGGACCTGTAAGTTTTCATGCTGTGTTCACTGTTGCTCTTAATAGTACTTTTGAAAGGCAAACATAAGCACAGTTTACACAGCTGTCTATAAAGTCCAAACCTAATCCCATTTGATTTTGCTGTATAGCAGATATCTTGGCAGGTTTCTGCTGCCAAAATTTCAGTAAGGAAGACAGTGTTTCAAGATTTGGGCTAGTTGCTATGTCCCCACAAGTCTGACCATCATTAATAAGTTACTAAAGATAGCTTAGTACTTATTCCAGCTGCAGTTAAGAATAAAATAGTATCATTCTGAAGCAGTAATGAAAGAATAGACTGTTTTACCTGTAGCAGTTGTTGTCAAACTTATTGTAACTGGCAAATGCAATTAAAACACCAAACCCGGCTCCTAAGGAGTAAAATATCTGAGTAGCTGCATCGATCCATACCTGCATAATGATACCAACATTGTCAGTGTCAGCTCAATCCAAAGATACATCAGAGAGATGGGAAATGCAAGAGTGTACAAGACAACTGGCTTTTGAAAAATGATCAGCACTTCTGCTTATGGGAGAGTAAGTGGTTCTCAGCCCCCATGAGATGTCACATGGAGCACAGTCATGGTCTGGAATGGCTTAACCCAAAATAATAAAGGCTGAGGCAGTGCACAGGTTCTCAGTGCATGCACACTGCTAGCACAGTAGGGTGTGTTACTTGGATCTCTGCTTCTGAGCTTTTACTGTGTAGTGAAATGTTTACATTAGTTTTCTCCCTGGTGGCAGAAATTCACTTCCGATGGTCCTTGTTCCAAGTTAGTTTGGAATGTACAACCAGAAACCTAAAAATAGTTAATGGGTCAAGGCAGGACATTTTCTTTCCCATAAGAGAGCTTTGTTCATGGAACTGTTAGTACACTTTACATGATAAGTTCTTGTTTCAGAAGATGAAGAATGACTGACATGCTGTGAACAGAACCATGCAGGTCATCTGTCACCTCTCCCACTTTGCTGGAAATGGAGTTGTTCCTGTGATAGTCATTAAATTTTGGTAGATGCAGTTTGGTCACTTTAAAGAACTGCGCACTAGGGAAAACATGTTTTTAATGCTGTAATGTTCTCTAAAGTGACCCTTCAGCTCAACATCCACTCAACATGTGTAGACAGTCAGGAACAATGCCACAGTGCTGGTCTCCTGAATGAGAAGCCTGAAAACAGTCTACCCTGGTTAATGAGGGTTTCAATTATTGAGTTATTTACACAGAAATATTTAAACAAGCATTTCCGTCAAGGGTGATTAAGCCAGCGGGGTGAATAATACTCAGCATTTCTCAAAATGAGATCTTTGGTGTTTGATTAAATTTGCCAAGTGCTCAAGACTATGAAAAACACTGGATTTCATCTTCATCCATCTCTACAAAATCAGATCCAAGATATCGATTCAGGAGCAGCTTTCTAACAGATATAAGCAGCTCATGAGCTCCATCTGTGTTGGAATTTTAATGCTAAGCCTTCACATTTGACCCAATGGAAATAGTGCCTTACCCCATTCTAATGTGGTATATGAAAGCAGTTATCCTTCTGATCTGATTTTTGGTGGTGTTTGTTTGTTTTTTTCTCAGAATAGTTAACTACAGACTACAGTCTGTTTGAACTCTGGGTTTGTAGAAAAACTTAATTTTATCAACTGATGAGTTAATTGCTTGAAAGAGAATATGAAGAACAATCTATAATGTGTTTATTGCGAACCAGTGGATAGGTGGGCATTTTAGATTTTTTTCAAATGGCAGTGCAAAAGGAGGGATGCAAAGCCTCCTGTGATTTTTCTTGTTTTTTAAAACTTTCCATAACTTGTTAACCAAGTGCCTGAATTTTAAAATTAATTTTGCATAAACGATAACGAGATCTACATGCTGCCATCTTAACGATCTTGTTTTTAGTGACTCTTTAGCTCTTTTGTGTCCTTCCAGTGGAATTGTACTCATTGAATTTTCCCTTCTCACTATTTAGTGCTGTTAAGCATCTGCTTAAGTCCTATTGATTCAAATAAGAGGCCAGCACCTGCTGCCTACCAAAGGAGTTATGCATATGCTTAATATCTGTTGAGGAAGAGTCTTGGCTTATAGTAGCTGATTATGAAACACATTGAGAAGATCAAGGTGAAGGGGGAAAAGGGAAGAAACCTCTTTTAGAATTAAGATTAAATACAGAATATTTCCTTTGTTAGAACAAAGCATGATTTGAAACAGACAGTGGGGCTGGTTCTTCTGCAGTTTAAGCTCATGTTGTCTGTTCACTCCAGCTGAATGGTTTCTGATTGATGTGTAGCCTAATTGATTTTATGGTAGTATATTGGGTTTGTATGCATTAAAAATGAAAACATAGAAGCTTTTTACAGGAGTCAGTCATCAGTCTTTACAGCTTCTTTCATAGTTGTTTGTGCCATTATCATCACTTCTGTGCATACTCTTTCC